ACGCAAAGTGCAGGGTCAGTGTGACGCACAGCGCAGAGGTCTGAGTGACGCGCAGAGGTCAGAGTGATGCAGAGGACAGTGTGACGCACAGTGTAAGGAAGAAAGAAAAGGGACTTACAGTGCTTTGACTAATGAATGTAAGATAATTTCATATCAGCATGCAGACCTGTGATTTGTATGCAGGTATTCAGGTGCCTCTTCTTTCTCCTGGGGGGGGGGTGGAGGTTGGTGCAGAGATCCTTCTTTTCCCTGCTAACTTTCTGGATGGCCGGTCTCACCGTCTCTGCAGTCTTCCTCCCAGCCTGGCAGCTGAGGTGGGCGGAGGAAGCTGCAGAAGACAGCGGATGTCATCGAGGAGCGCCGCCGGACCAGAGATGGGACACTACCACCACGGCGATCGTTCTCTCTTCTCATCGGCCGCTCTGTAGCTACAGCGGCCGGTGAGAAGAGAGAACAGAAGCGAGCAATTGCCGCGGGTAGTGTCCCATCTCTGGTCTCGCCGGCGGCGCTCCTCGGTGAGATTCCACTTGCCCCCCCGCAATTTTCACTCGCCAATTGCGAGGGGGCGAGTGGAAATTTTGAGGCCTGCTCTACAGGATAGCTCTTCTCTTCATTGCATTACTTTCAGTAGATTACTGTTTTCACAATATCTAAGGAGAGACACATAGCTTTTCAAAGAAGCTTACCCTCACCTCAACGAGCTCAGTTTTCATGTCACTATTCTAGTCACTCACATTTCAACTTTACAGCTCATTTTGTTGTCTTTCAGGTCCACGAGTTTGCCTTGGGGAGAATCTGGCCCGTATGGAGCTCTTTCTCTTCTTCACCACTATGCTAACACACTTTGAATTCCACTGGCCGGACCCCAAGTCTCCTCCAGATCTCACCCCAGTATTTGGGATTTCTCAGGTTCCTAGGCGTTTCAAGATGAGGTTGGTTCCCCGCACCTAAACCTAATCATCTAAAGGCCAGAAGGACAAAACAATCATTGGAGTACCACATCCTTTCAAATGCAACCAGACGCAATGTGCTGTGAAATATAAACATGACTGTTTCTATTTTTCTCTCAGTGACACTTCTCAGTTACTGTGTTGTGTAGAGATTACTGCTGTTAAAACAGTAACACATTTTTTATCAAGCTTTCACTAAGGCGCTGTTTATTTGATCACCAACCACTTGTAAGCATAAAGCGTAAGAGGGTAAATTCAGGTTGCAAAGCCCCTAAAAGACAAGTCCACATACAAAAAACACAGCTCACCTTCTGTACCCCCTAACCCAATCTAATCTATGAATTTACAACCTGGTATCAGTTTATAGTTGCCTTTGTCCCACCACTTGTCTATAAGTCAATTCAGCTCAAAACGTATCACTTCTACGCCTACAGCCTGTCACAGATGCCTGGCCTAGAGGTGACAATGCATGAGGTAGGTACTAGTACTTATACTGAATGTGTTTGTGAAGCAGTTAAAGCGGACCTCGCAGTAAAATGCGTGGTACAACCTAAACCTCTTCCCCATCATTATTAGCCTCTTTGTTAAAAAAAATAGAAATTCTAGGAAAAAAGGAAATATAATAATCTTTTTTGCAGCTTCTATACTTCAGAGGGCAACATTACACTCCTGCCATCAAGATCCCTGGGAATGCTGAGTAGCCCTAATCTCACGAGATGATGCTATAGCACAGTGCAGGAGTGCTGTCTTCTGAAATGTGGGCTACTCGGCATTTCATGGGATCTTGTTGAAAGCAGATTAATGTCTCCTTAACCCAGACACTGCAGGCTGACGCTGGGGAAAAGGTTCATATATTTAATAATTGTTTCCTTGCAGGTTTTGGTTTATTCTTTGTTTTCTAACTAAGAGGCTTTTAATGATGGGGAAGGGAGCTCACATAGATCAGGTGTAAGCAAACCCAGAATTACTGCAAAGTCCGTTCTAGGAATTTATTAGTCACAATACTAGCGACTGATAAGTTCTAATGTTTAAGTATAGATTTTTTAAGTGCTATATATTTAAAGAATAACTTCCCAAACCACAATTTGTACTTAACCCGGGAACTTATTCTCAAAACATTCTATGTGCATTAGTCCCAAAGCAAACTGAATGCCTTTAAATAACAATTAATGATAAAATTAATGAAAAATGCGGGCTGTGTTCTGTAAACACCATGGTGTCCAGCAGAGAGTGGATTTGGGCCCCTTACTGTTTCAAGGTGTGAAAAATCGAAACAAAAAATGAGGACCAGTGTTTGCCCACTTGTCGGCATGTTAAACCTAGAAAAACAGTTCTATTCCCATGATGCAGCAGGAGCTTTCTTTGTTCTTTTATATATCATCTATGAAGTCAGACTGGGGTGGGCATGGGCACAGCATTTTCAGGATACCCTGGACTACATCTTAGCTGCCCTGTCACTGTAGGAAAAATTGATAACTGTGAAAACTGGTTATATTCATTTCAATAGATCCTCATTTGAAAACAGTGTTCCACTGCATGAGAAAATATCCCCTGGCACATTAACAGCATCTGGAGTACTCTTACTGGAAACTTAACATTTTATTCTTGGCATG